AGCGACATCTTTTAGGCATTACGTAAGTCGTTTCCCTGTATAATGCAAGATTCAAAAATATATTAAAATATATTAAAATATAAAATATGCAATATTCCTCGATGTATCGCAAAGAACAACAGCGATTATTTCGTTTTGAACATGTAATCTAACATATTTAATAAATATAATATATTGCGCTCATATATTGAGTGTAGTTTTTACAGTTATAAAGTAAGTTTCTCGTTTCTAGTTTGTTACACACGCACACATAGAGACATTGCGTACAATATAATGTCTACTAAAACATATTTATTATAGTAATTTTATGAACAACTAGAATTATATAACTCGATTCGCTGTTTTTTACATCACGTCTGTTTGAACATTTCGTTAAATCTACCAAAATTACAAGCTTTTCCCTGAAAAATTTTATATATCGAAGCAGGAGAACAGAAACTCACTAAAGTCGCGTGACATCGATCCAAATAATTTCGCGGTTGCGACCTCCCGGTTAAAAAAGGAAGAGAATTTCATAATTATAAATAAAATATTGTCCAAATTTACATCCCCTCCGATCATCACGAGTCATCGCGGCTTAACAAACTCTAAAAAAATAGACAAAGGTATTAGACATACGACTAATGCGCTAATTTAAATTCACAAATTGATTAACGTGCTATGTTGAATTCAATAAATAAATGTCCGCACGCTTAACGTCCCCAACGCAGCACCTGAATCGCGAAATAACCGATGCGTATATATAAATATTATTACAACTAATATTTTTCAGACAAATGGTCGCCATTGTGATTTTCATGACGATTTCTTGTAAAATCCGCGTGTAAAATCCGCGAAGGTGAACGCCGGTCCACAGAGTAGATCTCGCCACATAGCGCGAATTGACGATTATTTCCTGGGACCACGTTCTAGATCCAAGTCTCTCTCTCTCTACGATATACAACGGCCATAATAAGAGTACGCGGTGTTAATAACGGACTCGGTAAAAAGCCGATTGACAATCAAGTGACAATACATTTCGTCGGCGATCAGGCCGGCATGCCGTCGGCGGAGCTCCATCGACTACGCGGCCGCTGAAAGATTCAGCAGTCGGCCCAACTTCAGAGCTATCAGGTAGTAGGATAGCATAAAACGCGATGCCTCTTGCCCAGGCCACTGCCGACGAGGCCGACGAGGCCGACGAGGGACTCCCACCTCCGAGAGAAGGAGTATCTCTCCTCCCCGCTGTGTAATATAATTTATCGTGCGTCATGAACGCAACAAGAACTCGGTAAGACCGGCAAGTCCAACGGGCGCACGAAACGCTTCGCAAGAAAAGTAATTGTGATAATAAATTAGGGGTAAGATAATAATAAAGACTGTTAGAGGAAATTTAGCATTAAGATGAGGAAGATGTTAACAGAATCTTAATTTCGAACTTAATTATTCGTAGCTCGTTGAAGACTTCGTAAAGATGACACGATCTCTCTCGACAATCTTGCCAAGGAAAGATGACTTCCGACTTCATCAGAGCGACATTATATCCCCGTCTCAATTTTATCAAGGTTTGACTCGAGTCGATGAATAATGCATCTTTGCGCTCGTGGAACTAGCTCGCGATAGTTTGCAATCTCGAAAGGGCGTAACGTAGGAGTGTCCAGAAAGATCGGCGGTACCAAAGAATTGCGGCCGAGCCGCAATGGATTTCGCGCGCACCTCGTTACTTAAGGAGGAAGCGGCCGCCGCGAAACCGCGTACCGGTCTGGGTGGAGTTACCCGCGGCGTTGTACCGCCTTTGACAAATACTTGGAAACAGGATAGCAGGAGCAGAACCGGAGAAAGAGAGAGGGTGAATCGCCGTTAGGAAGCGAGGAATCACGCAGTGATTACGATGACTCAATAAGCCTTGATATAATTACCGTATCAACGATCACCTTAATATTATTTCAAGTTTATTTCAAGTTTCACTTGGATTTATCACGAAGTGTTAAAGAATTCGTCTTTAAATTTTGATATTAAATTTATACTAGGTTTAATTATATTAAAATGAAAAATATTTTAAATAGCTCTCATATTTACTGTATATATGTTGTTATATATTCATATATATATTAATATATCCACGTGTCATTTTATTAATATTTATAAAATAGTATTAATAATCCTAGTCCGTGTTAGTAATTATTATTAATATATAAAAAACAGGGACAATAAGAAGCAAATTTTTACGTACTTATGTGAATAATACTTAGACAAGAAGAAAATACTGCTTTATAAATTCTAAAGAAGAGACTAATATCCATAGCTTGTGAACGAATGAAGCGGAGAATCTTAATTTCTAAATGTGACTGTATAAAAATGACAATAGAAAGTGACAATTTTTCGCAAGTAGATTCAGTTTCCACATTTCAAAATATATAAAATACGAATCTCAAAAATTTAGTGAGATTATCCCAACATGTCGAAAATTTGTTAGAATTAATTAATTAATAATTTAACGAAATTAATTTCTAAGATTTATCGAACTTATTTTTAAGTATTTAAACGGTAAATATCGTTTATAAACAGAATTGTCACAAAATTGGAAATCAGAGAAATAGGAGAAATGAAGAAAAAATACAGGATTTTACAAAAATTTTCTGTAAAATTAAAATTCTTGATTTTAAACATAATAATTAACATTTCTGAGTTAAATTGTTCTTTCAAAATATTTGACGATTTTCAAATCAGGACGAATATAAAAAAAAATTCGAAACATTATTGAAAGCTTGAAAAAAAAAATCATGAAATTTTGTCAGAAATCAGGGAAAAGTTATAGAATTTTAGAATGAAAAATTTGTGACAACCCTGATAAGGGATACGAGGCACGTCGATCCATCACTGCGAAGGCAGTGAAAAGAGAAGGAGTATGCACAGCCCACTTCCTTTCCACCGAGGAGTGTTCATCGAACGCGGTCGCTGGCGGTCGCCACGTGCCCGGTCTGATCCCGCTCGAACATGTTCCCCTGCGAATGCAAGTTTCGAGTGTGACCCGGCCTGGGGACATGGGCACGTTCTCGGCGAAGGTCAACGGACTCTTCCGTTGCTCCACTACGCCGTCCGCGGGACATACGTGGGTGTGTACACGTGCGTACTTACGTACGTATATACGTACGAGCGTGCGTGTGCCCGACGCCCGACGTCCGACGCCCGACGGCCGACGGGTGTCCGCCAGTTCGCTCAGCGTCGCATCGCGTCGCTCCCATGGAGTGCACTCGTTATCGATATGACCCACCACCACGTCATTGCGGGCGAACGCGCGTCGAGGGGATACCGACCAACGAACGGATCATGCTTCCCTACTACGTTGCGCGGCAGCTCGACATCTTGCGGTCCGCGCGGATTCCTTGCCGCGCGACGACGAGGTGAGCGCGATACCGCGGAATGCACGCGCGCACGCTCGGCGTCCCGAATATGAAACGCGCTGCTGCGAATATCATGGACGATGTATTTCGGCAGCTACCTTATTTGCCGCGTTATTGTCCACGATGGAACGATTTACCACAGCTTGCTTTCAGATCGCATCTTCTGCACGTAAAATAAAATCAGTCGCATCGATCCGCAGCGAGGAAGAAGAGAGAGGAGAAAAAAAGATTGCAAGGAGATTTAAAGCAGAGAAGAGATGAGTCTTATCGCACTCTCGTGTGCGCGATCAATCAGCATGATTAATCGGCGATCGATGACTTTAGGAGTCAGTTCACCGCGAGATAAAATGTATAAAAATTATGTAAGGAGGGAGAATAAAACGAAAAACAAAATTAATGGCTGATCTAAAGAGTAAAAGAGTAAGAGTTGAGTTTTTGAAAGATAGTTGTTCTTCTTTTATATCAGTTATTTAATTTTTATTGTGTAATTAGTTTATTAATTCGATGAATCTATTTTCTAAGATTATTGCTTTCCCCTCATTAAATATTTCATGTAATTTAATTGTGTATTTTTTGTGAAGTAAAAAATATGAGCCATTTTTTTCTCTTTTTTCTTCCCAATTTTATTCAAATAATAAAATGTTCGTGAAATACGTCATAATTAAAAAAATTCGCAAACTAATTCGTATCGAGTAAATATTTACAAAATTGCGAAATTGCAAAATTGAAGTTTCAACGATATTTAATATTAAACTAAATTTTTCGGTTATTTTTATCTCTTTTAACTTTTGAACTTTTCATTCAAACATTGACACGCTTTTTATTTTAAAAAATGGCGTAATTTTAATAATGTTATAGCTAAATAATATAAAAATGATAAAAATATTTCTATTTAAAAAAAAAATCTTCATAAGATTCAAAGTTTTATATAAAAATGCAAGAATAATTTATCTTAAAAATATTTTGTAAATAACTAATCTTATAAAAAAGACCTTACGAAGATAAAAAAGATGTACTTGACATCGCGCCATTGTATCACTTTATATTATAAATATTATAAATAATCATGCTTTGTGAAGGGGTACCTTGATGTTTTTGCAGTTAAATTCGAAAAAACGTATTTTGAAATTTTCTCTTTCAATATTGAACTATCCGATCAATTAGATCTCATTTTCTGCCTACAAAGAAGACTACTTTCTATTGGGTCATCTAAAAACCGCGGATACTTTTTAGATGACCCAATATTTTATAATAAATAGTAGATATTTTTATTCAAATTTTCTTCAATGCATCTTTGACTGGATTATAACTAAATTAACAAATCATTAGAGCTTCGTCTGAACCTAAACATTTCTACTTAGAACTGTCCGAATAATTATTTGATTAATTTTTCGGACTGATTAATCTCCTATCTTAAACGAAATGTCTCAAAAATCAAACAACTTCATAAAATAAAAAGTATAGAAAAAAATCAAAGAAATTGAAATCTGAGTTGTCTTGATACTAAATTGACAAAATTGATATCGTTAATTAGTTCGACTTTTGACTCGAATGAGACGACAATTTCGCGCCGATGGACAAGATCGACATCTCGTGGCGACGACTTTGCGGCGGAGTGCAGACACGTGACTGCTTCAGTGCGCAGGGGCGGCCGGGGATGGTCGTCGATGTTGCGGGCGCAGTGTTTTCACGACGTCGATTTTCACGTGACAGCCCGCGGAAGTGCGCGGGAACCCGGTCGTGTAATGGTGTGAGACCTGAAGCGGCATTAAGTACGCATACCTTACGACGCACGATAAACACATTTCCCGACGTTCCCTTATCACCCCGCCGAAATGCCGGAGGAGGAGAATTTTTGCAAGAAAATGTCAAAAGCCACCAGGGGAATACACGCAATCAGCGATGCCCTGGTGAACGCGAAACTGGCATTCGGTAAGGATCGCGAGATACCGTGAAGCTCTCTCGAGATATCGTAAATATCGGCCGTTTTATTTGAGTTTCGCAATACAAGCTTGGTTGCATACTGCAGCAGAGACAAAGATGTATCAACAAGATAACAAAAGCATGATAAACATTGCGTTATTTTTTCATGTTCTATATATAGCATTCATTGTTTGTGCTTTTAATGGTCACTGTTTGTCAATTTTTTAAGGCCAGTATTAATAGTCCTTATTTTAAGATCGTCTTAAGTAATGTCTTAAGATGCTAATATGGTTCATTATATTTTAAGACTGAGACAGTCTTAAATATAAGATAATATAATATGACTATGAATATTGATTATAAATCTTCTAGTATTATACTTGACAAGTATATTAATGTCTGAAGAATAAGTACTTGACTTGACGTTGAATGCTTTGAATATCTAAATGCTACATACGATTTTATTAACCTGTTCCATGCAACAAAAAGTCTGGTTCCAATGTAATGATTACAATACTCTACAATTAGGGTTCCTCGACGATTCTGTATGGGGTGACGGGCTTCTGGTTTTCTACGAGGTCTTTCGCTACCTGGAGGGTGCAATGATTAGATTAAGAAACACCAAAATTGGATTGCTTCCACTCAGTGAGCTTCAACGTACAGAGGCTTTCGAGCGCGATCTTGATCATTATTTGGGAAAAGGATGGAGAAAAAACTACAGTCCTAGGTACAAAAAAGCTGCATACAGTAACCATATGATAATGTTGTGAAAATAAAATCGTTTTATTTTCCTACGATTACAATGAGTAATAAAGATGTCAGTCTTTTACGATAGTATAATTAATATAATTTGTAATAGTAATTATTACAGAAAAGAAATCTTAATCCTACAAGTCTGTTTTACAAACTTCAGGGATAGCGTCACCAAATATCTGATGCGTTTGAGAGAAGTGGAAGACACGGATCCCACTTTATTAATGGCATATATTTATCATCTTTACATGGGTCTCCTCAGCGGCGGTATCATTCTACGTAAAAAAAGGCAGATCGTACAAAAGATTTCGCCTTTCAAAGCGCAACCATCGAGCGATGGTAATAACGTCACAGACTTTGGGCAGAACAGTATATTTCAATTAAAGCGTGAATTACGTGAATCGATGAACAGAATCGCGGAGACGTTGGATGAGGACACGAAAAATAAACTTATCGAAGAAAGTAAAATAGTCTTTGAATTGAATAATGAAATTATCAAAAGTGTGCAGACGGGCAGTCATGTTTTTGAAAAAATATTCTATTTTATTGGCCCAGTTTTATTGGTTCTTTTCGTCCTGATAATCGTCCTCAATATCCTTTACAAATACATTATACGTTAATAAAAATTAATTCAATTAACGCTAATTTAACGTCAATTTACTTAAAAAAAAAAGATGATAAATTTTTGTTCGGCCGAAAAGTGCTAATATCAAAATCGAAATGTATAATACTATGTTACTTACGCGCTGTATCTCTCGCCTTTCTATAATAATATATAAATGAATTATTACTATTATTTGTACAACATAATTTAAGAATATTCTGTTTCATACAGTTTATAATGTCGAAAATATTGAATTACCAAGATTTGGTAAAATTGACAAATTTTATCTAATATGTTTCAAATTTGCTTTTTAAATTTTATTTGCAATTTGCCTACAGCTTCCACGAAAAAGCGACTTAATATTTCTCTTTCTACCAGATCTTCCTCTATAATCAGTAACAACAAATTCAAAGTGTTGAATCTTCTTTAAATTTATCGTTATCATCACGTTAAGAATAGATATGTATATTAGATGACATATAAACAATACAATAAAGATATAGTACTTCGAGACTATTAAACTAAAACTAATTTAAACTTAAGGCTCCTGTTCATTTATCACTACTATTTCAGAATAAAAATTCTTGCAAAATATCTGGAACTTCCCTGCTTGCGAATGTTAAGTAAAACGCACTCTTAATAAATAATTTTATATGTGAAAATGAATTATGCAAAAAACGAAATAAGCTATTACAATTATGACAAACTATCAAATTAATAAATGATTTAATTTCTCTTTGAAACAAAAGTTTTTGTATTTTAAGTCTATTCTATCGATTAAATGTTTTATTGAAAAATATTTCTATTTAAATATAATATTTTTTGCAAACTTTTTATAAGTCTTGCTTCTGATGTCATAATCTGAATAGTAGTGATGAATGAATTAAAGCTTTAAATTTATCAATATCAATTTTATCAATATTACGTAATATGTATGATAATGCATAAAGGTACATTATCGTACATGTAACAATTACATGCGCATTATTATTGACCAGCAAAGATAAAAGATAGAAAAAGTAACACAGATGAAGTTAATAGCTATCGAATTTAATTCGATATCTGTACTTCTCTTACGTTGGTAATCCATTTTTCCAAATTATTATATACATGACTACTTTAGAACTTTTAGTATCGCCTGAATATCAAAAGAGAAATTATCCCAAGTCTTTACGCGAAAATCAAAAGTAGAATAATTTTGTTTGTAATTCTTTGTTAAAAGTGGCGAACTATCATGTCCCAGACTTACGAAAGGAATCGGTGGAATAGTTTTAAAATCTTTTTGTAATTTACGCGCAGCTTCTCCGAACAGCATCGACTTGATATTTCCTTCTGGCAGACTTTTTTTGCGAAAATCTAAAAGAGAAAAATCAATTTCGAAATAGTATCATAACAATATTGGATTATATTATTAACGTTTATATTAAAAGATATAACATCCTTTACATAATTTAGATATCTTGTTAAATATATTATTTGTGATATGTTTTAAGCGAGATCTCAAATTAAGTAGAAGTAAGAGTTAGATTATAAGCAAACATAGTGTACCTTTTACTTCTTTTTCCAATGATTGCGCTTTGTAACTAAAGTCATTATATTTGATCGACTGAATCGCAGGATCAATTAGAAATGAGCACGATTGAGCAGGGCTGTCTATTAGTTGCTTAACAAGAGGTGATTGAGTCTCCTCCTGGTCTCCAAATAGATTTCGTTTAAATGCTGTCTTCGACGCGTCTTTCTTATTGTCATTTACACCACGGCGATTGCGAGCCGGAGAAGTGTTTGATTGACGGCCAACTTTAAAATCAGGAACTACATTCTATAAATGGAGCACATGATAATGTATATGAAAGTTTAGATTATAACATAAAAAGAATTACACATAACATATGATATTTACTTGTGGTGGACAAGTAGAAAAGTGATGGAAAAGCGACGCTGTGGTAGAAAAGTGCTGTTGTCGTTTGCTCTTTGAAACTGTTTCAACATCTCCCAACGATTTATGCCTTTGTCTTCGTACAGTTGCAATGGTGGTTCTCTCACGTTGCTGTTTCTCTTGAATCCACCGCTTTATCCGTCTGGACAAAAGAGTGACATACATGTAATACAATTTTTCATTAAATATATGGATTTTATAGAAAATAGCAAATAATTACTTGACGAACGGTACCACCATAAAAAATGCTTTTGGACTAACACCCATTTTCATTTTAGGGGTCATATCTTTTTTCGTGTTGGGCAAATCCGCTACGGCAAACCATTCAACATTCTTTATTTCTTTCCGCGTTTTTGGTTGAAACTTTGTATCCTTTTGCACACCCGAAATAATGTATAATCTCACAGTTTGATCGTTTATTGTAGATTCAATGTACTCGTTTTTATCTATCAAATTAGATATATCAAAACCAGTCTCTTCCAACACTTCTCGAATAGCACAATGGAACGGCTCCTCATCTTCATTTACTTTTCCTTTAGGAAAGCCCCAACTATTCTTTGCCCAGTAGCTTTGCACCAGAAGCACCTTAGTCATATCTTCATTTAACACAATCGCCCCAAACGTCGGCACATTCTGTTTGTACTCTCTCCATTGCTCGAGCACAGCATCAATGTGCTGCACGTGTGGTTTCAAAAATGGTATGTGTTGAAATATATGAGTAGCGAATTCTTTCATGCCGCATGATCTTAATTTAGGATATTCTTCTGTGCAGTAGAAGTCGAGATAAAACCAATGTGCCAATTCGACTTGAAAGCAAATTCGTACCAAATCTTTCCTCTCCTCCTCGGGTACATTGATAATGAATCGACTGCAGAATAATAATATAAAAATATTGTATAAAAATAACAAAAATGATTATGCTAAAATAATGCTAATGTATGGAATTTAACTATGTTATTGTTTTTTGTTAAATGTGCTATTATTCTCATTATATTGGGTCATCTAAAAAGTATTCGCGGTTTTTTGTCACTAGATGTGTGTTGATGGTCATATATCTAGTGACAAAGTACCGCGGATACTTTTTAGATGACCCAATATTTAGTATAATTAAATAGAAACCGACCTGCTGAGATCGTCGAGGATACCAGATGGAATTTTATGTTCCATTATTCTATTCGATAATCTTTAGAGTGGTAACCGATTTCCATCGAGACCCTTGAGGCACTTGTTATTACTGACAATCGTGTATGGATGGCAGCAAAAAGTACACTATATAAAAATTGACCCCAAAAATTTAGCGTAAAAAATAAAAATTAATAAAATTAGTAAAAATGTAAATTTGTACAAATGTAATATGTGATCATGACAAATAATACACAAAACAAATAGTAATTACTTACATTGACTTAACCTCAAAAGTTGTAGTACATTCGTGGTATGTATTCCGTCTTGATTGACACGATGTACGTGCTTGATTTAAAATCATTCTGCAAAATCGATAAATATCGTTTACATAATATTTGTAACTTACATAACTTCAAAAATTACATTCTAAGAGGTTAACCTTACTTACCGTACATATCAGCTGATTTTTATGTAGTCGCAAGTCGATCGCATAAACTACGCATGTATGATTATAAGAATTGGCCAATCACTGTTGAATATTCTCCTCATATTCAACTATGATTGGTCAATTCTTATACTACCCACACAAACGACGCTCACGCATTGTAGAATAGCATAATAAAAGAATTCGTCTTCTAAAAACAACACTCCTGCCGATTTGTTTTTATCTATTTTTAGTATACACTTTTCGTGAGATGATGATCTCTACTACATACACACACAGTTCAGCTTAAACAAAAATAAAGATGCCACTTTCTCGAATTACTTTTTTATAAGACAGCGCATATTTTTGCATTATATTTTATTGGATTAGATCTTCATTTCTTTTTTATGTTTATTTTTATAATTCCACAATTTTTATAATCGCCTTAATTTTTATAATTCTAAAGTCTCTAGCTTCTAAAAAAATGTATGTGCATAGAGCGAACCGTGCAGATAAGAAACAATTCATAAGAAACAAAACGTAAAATTTGCTGTCAAGTGAGACTTTCCATATTAGAATATTCTTGCATAAAAATTGTCATCAAATTATGATGCATTTTTTTTTTCAAGAAAAGAACAAAATTGCGAAACTGCACATTTATTGCACATTTGACAGGATAGAAAAAAATTTTTGCTAACTAATGAGGCTTAACAACTGCTGCAATATAGCTTCTATGTTGTTATCATCGTTATTCTCTAGCACGATGTCCCAATTACTTATGTCATCCAAGTCACACTCTGTTTCTGAATCGTCTATGCCTACAATGATTAAATTATTCTGAAGATCGAGTTTTTGCGGTTCCTTAAAATTATGATTATGTTATAATGTTATTATTACCTGGTGTATAAACCCAGCCACGTTTCTGCCTAACTTCTTGGGAGCAAACTATACGTACAATTCTACATGCATCCTCGAAGTTTTCTGTAAACCATTTAATGTCAGTTTTTCTTCTAATGTCACTTATTATCCACACTGGCTTGTCCCATGCTGAAAAATATATATGTATATTTATATATACTATAGAAATTAATATCTCTAGAAATTAACACACTTTTATGACTTAGTCACAATAAAAGAAATAAGAAACAAGAGAAATATATATATATATATATATATATATATATTATATGTATACATATAACAGATTTCAACCCATCAGAATTCCAGTGTACCCGATTTCTAATAAGTTGAAATCTGTTAATCCTTATTCTTTTCATTACGATTGAGTCTATACAGGCATAAACCAGTATTCATAGGCTGCGTTCAGTTTGGACGCTTTCAGCATTTCTATTCTGCATCTAATGAACTATAAAGACAGAATGATAATTATAAGTGCTTAAAGAACAAATCAAATGTAGCCATAATCAGTTCTTATTTCAAGATTGTCTTAGGTAATATCCTAAGATACTAATACAGTTCTGTAATTGATTTATGATGTACTTAAGATCATAAAAAGATGTTAAATATATTTAATATCGCTTAAAACGATATTAAATATAAGAATTAAATATGAACATCAACTGTAATCTTTAATGAAAGATTCTTCAGTTTTCTTGTACCATTATACATGTCAATAGCAGCGCGACAGAAGTATCCATAGTCTTTCCTTCTTATATCCTCACTCCACTTGACCATTTCCAATCG